GGTTTTACGAAAAGTTTTCAAAATTTTGCCGACCTTTCTTTTATGTCGACCACTTTGATTTTACGAGCTCTCCTAAAATTGTATAATGACCCTAGTTTTTGAACCGTAATTTTTGCGCCGCTGGCAAAGTTTCAGAAAACAGGCCACAACAGATGTTTTTAAGCACTTTTTGGCAATTTTTGAGCAAAAAACGGCGTTAAAGGCGCTTTCAAAAAATTTTAAATTTTGAGGTTGTTCAGCTAAAAGTGAATGTAATAAAAATATACCAAATGGGGCAACCAGAATTAAAGGGAACGGCACCACGCCCCCCCCCCTGCACTCTACTGCAGACCATCCGTTTGACGCCAGGAAGTAGTTTCCTCTGTAGTTGCCGTTGTGATTTAGTATGTTTCCCATAGTCAAAATTAATTTGTAAGGAACCCTGGCATAGTTTGTTTTTAGTCCGGGTGACTTTGGATACTTCAAGGAAACTTCGCATGGGGGCAATAATGGTGGTAACAAAAAATCATTGACTCGGTTTTTTAGTCAAAAGCGCCAAAAATTTACCTCCGTTTTGAGGAAAACTAATCTGAATAGTTTTGGTTTGTAGACCTAACTAGACAAATTCGTTGCTCTACCTTTTTAATTTTACTACAGTTCGAACGTTCAGTTAACTTATTTTTCTTTTTTTTTCAGTTATTCACTTATTTCATTGACCTTTTACTGAAAAAAAAACACAGAGCAAACTTGAACAATAAAAAATATCTTTCCTTCAAAATTTGTACAATTTGACCTCAAATCAAATTTGGGGTTAGCGGGGGGGGGGGATTGAAATAAAAAAAAAATTCAGATATAACTCCCAAAGAATCCTGAGTTAATCTAATCAATTGAAAAAAAAATGATCTAAATTTACCCGGGTGGACAAAAAAAATCATTCTATGAAAAAAATGCTTGGAATACTATTTCATAAGATTTCATATACCAAAAGAATAGTATAAAATAGCATGACAAGAACATTTTCCAAACTATGAATTTTTATTATAGTCAGCCTTTTTGCCCCATTTTGACGTTAAATAACAAGCTTTTTTGCCTTTTTGCCGAACTTTCTATCACAATGATTTTAGGAAACTGGCAAAAGGCAATTTTTTGAACTATGGAACTGTTTGACACGTTTTTTTCATCAATGAAAACTGAAAAATGTTTTGTTTTAAAATTTTGTGTTTCATCCAAAGATTTTTTGTCATAATAAAACCCAGAGTGTTTCTGGCAGTTACCACGCAGATAATCTGCATTTGGTGATATTAGCCATGCAAGTTACTGCTAAAATTTTTCACAGAGAATTGTATACCAAAAACGTATATGACTAGTTACTGTTAACATTTTTCACAGAGAATTATATACCAAAAACTTATAAATTTTTTGTATATGACTAGAAAACTTAACTTTGAAAACTTTGTGGTTGTTGTATTTTTACATATTTATATTTATATTAGCATATGAACACAAGAAATTTAATTGGGTCAAAGTTTGCACGTGATTTTTTGAACTTTGGGTGAAAAACTCAACCCGCACTACGTCAAAGACACAAAAAAATAATTTTGCATGCAAAACTTTTTTACCGTAAAATGTATACCCGAGCAGAGAAGGAAGTTTGCAACCGAAAAAAGGATTAAAAGTTTTACCTCAACTTTGAAGTTTTGCCTATGGAAAAATGCATATCAGACATTTTTGATATATGAAGTTTTATGATAAACTTTTTTTTGTTCAAAACAATTTTTGGTTGCCAAAGTTGCACTCAAGTAACCAAAACTGCCACCAATCTGTTTTGTTTGAAATTTGAACCAATTTAGGATAACTTTCGAAAAGAAAAAAAAACAATGAAAACATGCTTGTCGTACAATTTTTTTTCAAGAAATTTGTTTGATAAGCGTTTTTTCCATATATTTCATATATGAAATTGTAGGATAAGCTTTTTTCGTGTATGCTTGTCGAAACAGGAAGAATGATTTTTGCGCAAATTGGATATTAACATTTCAAAATAGCTTTACCAAACTGATACATCAAAACAGGTATTGAACAGTTGTAAAGTTTTGTTGATATCAAAAGACTACTTAAGGAATATATTATGGGTGATTGTTTGATTAGCAAATTTTGTATGGTACCGCAATTTAAAAATTTAATACGTGGCTAGAGAGGAAATTCTACGGTTGGGCATTTAGAGTGGGGGAGTTTCTGGTTCGATATAAAAAAATTTCGAATTTTTTTTTTTTAATTTTATTTGTGTATTCTTCAATTTTGACCATGAAGTCATTTTCTTGGAACATTCCATGCTGCTTAGACATCAGTTTGCTATCCTTGTTTTTGTCAGTTTTATCTAATCGATTGAAAATTATAATATACTAAATGGATCTTTTTTGTCGTTTAGAGCATATGTGAACTTGTATGGATCTAATGGACATAGTGGCAAACGGGTTCTGAGAAAAATGGCGGACAAGACACCGGAAGCCAATTTCAGAAGCGGAAAGGTTGGTCCATCTTAAACATATGAGTTACCTATACAAGAAAAAGTTATAATTATATGCATAATTTGTTTTTGAAGCTTCAAAATTTAACACTACTTTTTCCAAGTAAAACAAACAGTGATTCTTTTTAGTTCTAAAACAAAATTTCTGGACTTCTGTACAATTACATAGTTTTTTTAATGGGACGAGGTAAGAAACTTTATTAATTTTTTGGGTATATTGCTTAGAAATTTCTAGAAATTTTTGAACATTTCAGAGGTTTTCGGATATTCTCAAACTACTGAGACCAAAACTTCATATGCGCGGAAACAACAAGAGCCTTTGTTAATCTTCTTATAAAGTAAAAATCTCGTTTTTATTTTTTAGGCGACTTGTTTTAATATTGAAGCGGTGGATCTCGGCGATATAAATTCACTTCTTGTCGGATTTTACGGAGACGACAACACCAAATGGACAGTCGGGAAAGTATACGTCAAATTAGACGACCAAATTGAAGTGTTCGTTTGTGGTCGTGCACTCGGAAAATCCGAACCGGATAAACGAACTGAAGTCGTGATTTACCGAGACGATGATGCGTCTGTTGATGTTGCCGAGTCGGTTTTCGAACCACTCCCGACAACTAAAACGGCAAAAAGTGTTTCCGAGAAACCGAATGATTCAAATACGACAAAAGCTGAACCACCTAAGAATAAAAAACCGATAGCGAAAAACGTGAAAAACCCAAAAGAACAGGCGGCGAAAAGTATCAAAGCTGAACCAGTGAAACCGACTCCTAAAAAGGCAGCAGTTACGGCGAATATTAATGGGAAGGGTCGAGCTAAGCCGAAAGCAAAAGGTAACAATTTAGTTTTAATGTAAGCAGGAAGCACATGCATCTGAAACTGTATTTTAATTATTATTTTTCTCGTTGTTAACTTGAGCTCAATTATTAGAAATAACTGCAAGTATTGAAGAGGGTGAAATCAAGGTATCAATTTGTCTAGGCCCTCAACCATGGACTCTTTAAAACGAAACTAACGAATTTTGACAAAGTAATACAAAAAAATGAAGATTATTAAACTTTGTCCAGATAAAAATTTTGCTTGTTTTAGGCTTTTTTTTTCATAACAACCAAAAATCGATATCAAACGCACGTTTTTTATTTAAAAAAAGTCAATTTTATAATTTAAATATTTCTGCTGAGTCAGAGAAATTAGGTTTTGGATAATTTTTGTTTCTTAGAAGCTCAGAATGCCATGTTACAAAGTATGGACCCAAACTCAAACAAGAAACCAGACTCAAAGTCAGATCAAGGTCCAGCAACAACCGACGAAAAAGAAACAAGCAACGACGATGACGTCACGAAAAAGGATGCGGAAAAAGAAGAAGAAGAAGCAGAAGAAAAGGCGACGGAGCCTCGCGGTAGTGACACAGTGCCACCGGAACAACAGCCAGAAACAGAACAAAATGATGACCAGAAGGAAAACGACCCAGATAATGATAATAAAGAACCAAAAGATGAAAATGAGAAAAAAGATGAAGCAAATAAACCACCGGAAATTGAGCCGAAAGAAGATGAGCCGAAGGAAAATGATCCGACTGATGAAAGTTTGAATGATGAATCGGCAGATCGAGACACCAGTCCATTTGGTGTTTTGGAACCCAAAAATGAACCATATGGTCTTCCTCAATAAAAATTAAAATAAAAAAACTAACTTTCACCCAGAAAGAGAAAACGAAAAAGTTTGAGTTTGCAGTATTTGTTAGAAAATTGTACATTGTAAATATATTTATTTGGCGTGTGATTGAAGTGTTCAAAAGAGATACAAAAAGTAAACAATCATGTATCAAAGTTATTTGAATGAGTCGAACGAATTGTAAAACTTGATATTTTTCAACTCGTTTGGACAATTTTTGTTCTTTTAGTTATGAAAATGTAAAAAAAATCCTAACCATGCAAGGGCATCGGTCACCGTTTTTACCCAGTGCAATAAATCAATCTAAAATCTTACAAGGCAGTTATGAGAAACCGCATTGGGAGAAAACATCATGAGTTGACTTCCATGTACAAAAAACGCTGGTCATACAACTTTGAACAAGAAAATTTCCTACAAATAATTCCATACAGATTGTATGAAAAGAACCTTTATCATACAGTTTCCATAAATAAAAATTCCAAAGTAAAAACTCCAAAATGTGTGGATTTTTTTTTTCAATTTTTTGTCGCAATCTTACTTTAATGCTCAAATAAACATTTTTCAAAACAAATTCAGCATACGAAAATTTGTGATTTTTGTCTGTAACCCAATCCAGCTTAAATTGTTTATACAACAAAAAATCAAAAACGACAAAATTTTTCTGTGCTAATTCAAACATCCGTTTCAATGCTTTTATACTGTAAGAAATTCTTTAATTAGTCAAAAAAAGTCATTACGAGGCCAAATTGTGCTTTTTGGGAAATGAAAGCGGATTCCACAACAAGACGCTCCCTTTGTTCTTCTTTTGTTCTTTCATTTCATTTGATCGTTCCGACACCAAATTAACAAGTTTAAAAACTTTTCGGTGGAATTCAGGAACTTACAGACTCAAAATTGTGCGCCTATCCAGTTTGGCCTCGTAATTTTAGGCCAAAATTTTTGACTAGTAGAAAACTTTCTGATCATATAAAAAAAATTAAGTGTTATTCCAAGTTCTGAGCAAACTATCAAACATTGTCTCAAAGAAACTTTGTACATGTTCCGAGTATCTGTTAGAATTCTTCCCCTCAACCACTGGGTTTTATTATGTTTTTTATTTCCTTTTCTGTCTTCGGACAAAGTCTTTTTTTATTCAAGGAAAAAATGATAGACATACCAATTGCATGAAAAGAAAAGCGTTTTTTCACAAAAATTTCTCACAATTTTCTGTAAATATAAAGTTAAACAGAATTGTATAACCAGAATTTTTTTAAAGTTTGCGTGGAAATTGTATGATGAGAAGTTTCGCTCAACCCTGGATTGTTTCAACTTGCGCTGTGTTGTAACGATATGTTATATCTGGCAATAAAGTTAACATAAACTTGTTATTAAAATTTCACTTTTCTTTCATCATTTAGGGGGTGTAGCCGAAAACACCCAAAATTCTGAAGAAAAAGAAGAAGCTAGAACAGTTATAGCTTTTTTTAAAAGATTGACAGTAATTACACCAAAAAGAGGTCAATTTCGGATCCAATGTGATACAACAAAGCAAAAACTGCTGGCCTGAATAAAACTGAAAACGCAAAATTTGATTGGACTTAAGTCTGCACTTTAATGGAAAATTCTGAATTTTAAATACTGCACCCAAAAATTACTTTTTATATATCGACAGTATGCGGAGCTACGTTGAATTTTTTTGCATTAACAGTTTTTTCCTGGGCGGGTTCTTGGGTTTGTACTGTTTTTTTTTCAGAAGATCAGTTTCTTCCTTCAACCTTGGATTTTTTTTGCTTTTCTGTCTAGAGTTACTCTACGCGTCGAAAATATCAGCGGTCTCTCATTCGCTCGCCGATTCAACCATTCTTTGTTGCTCGAGAAACTCCAAGTTTTTCCGTTTTCTATGGGGGGGGGGTTGGCAGTGATCCAACTGATTCGCTTTTCCCGGTTTTGTTGGTAAATTAGCCTTAAGTGCGCCTTTTTTGTCTTCTAAACAATTCACCAATTGAGTTAAGACTCTTTCTCAATTTATCTCAACTTATGTTTTTCAGAGTTAGACTTTGGATAGGTTTTTCAAAACAGTGTTTGTTTGTTTGTTGCTCATAGTGCAATTCAAAAAGACATAGTTATGTTAAAAATCTGATAAAATTGTCAAAACGAAAACCGAGAAAATTAGGAGAGTTATACTTTTCTAAAAAACTGACTTCTAAATTGGTCGTCTTGCAAATACTTCAGACACTTCAGCGTGCAGACAATATATGAAGCGAAAGAAGTCATTTTCTGCATATTGACAGATAATTGCAAACACAACGCTCAATATTTTATCACGAGTTGGGCAAATTACCGCTTTTCAGCACTTATAATTAGCCTAAACTTTTTCAAGTTCAAAAACTGCAAATGAATCTCAAATATCAGATAAATCACAAGCATCCTATTTCTGTTCTGACATTTGATTAAAACGGGAAAAAATGGTTGCATACGATGATTATGAACTTTGCATTGGACCAAAAATAAATTAAAATTTTTTTTTCTGCGTCACCTCAAAAAATGCTGAACGCGAAGAACAGTTATTGACTCATCATTCTTTTGGCCTTATCTGCAATTTTCACAGCTAGAATTCGATGGTTAAATAAACGTGTGATTCGGTTCCAGTAGCTAGAAAAGCAATCGCCAAACAGAAACTTTTCGGATCTAGGTTTTTAAAATCAATTAACACTTTGATGAGCGAGAAAGCATTGTTGGTTTCCCAATGGATCACCCCAGTAGATCTGTTATAGAAAATCTTTTTTGTATCTGAAGTTTTGCAGGATTATAGTTTTGCTATCGTTTCCCAAAACTTGCTAACTTTTTTTTCCTTTCATGAAACTTCATGCATATTGATATTTTATCATGTCATGAAGTTTTTTATACGTGATCTATAAAAGTTAAATATATTTCTTTCCTCGGCCGTAGGACTAAAAAAATTTATTAAATTTTGTTAAATTAAGTCAACCAGGTAGGGATATGAATTAAAGTCTAGTTAACTTATTTCATCACTGAAATCACAGTTGCTTAAATTTTTTTTCTATCTTTTGCATCGCTATTTCCCGCAGGACAGAAGATTGTTTTCAATTTTTCGTTCCATCAATTCCAACCGCAAATAACTCAGCTTTTTCTGAGTTTCCTTCTTCTTGAGTTTTTCCGAACCAAATTGACGAAATTCTAATCAAAATGAGCTTGATGCTCTTTATTTTAATAAATTGAGTCAGTAAAAACACGTTAAATTATTTCACTTTTTTTCTGTTGTTCACATACTCACAATTTTAAACAGCTAAATTGTAATTTTGAAAAAATGTCAAAAAAACCAAGTTTTGATTTTTGGTTTAAAAAATTTTAAAAGTTTAAAGCATGAAACGTTCTTGCAACGAAAGTCTGTTTCGCAGCGATGAAAAAACTGAAATTTAGCGAGTCTCTAAAATCGTTTCTTAAGGTTCACTTACATTATTGATCCCGTTTACTTGTCAAGCAATCAGACAAAACTGTAAAGAAACCCGTTTTTACCGCATCTTATCAATAAACTCTAAATTATTTTGGTGTTGACATATTTGCAGTAAGCTCTCAATTAATTTGGCTGTTGAAGTTTTTTCAGATGGTTGAGCATTAATAGTAACTTCCGGAAACACTTGCAAATAAAGTGAATCACAATTTGCTATTTTACATAAAACTAACGAAACAGCAAAAAAAAACATTATACATTTTAAAAAATCATCGACGATTAAGTTTTCAGAAAGAAGAAAAGCAATAAATTTGTAGTTTTACCTCCAAAGTTTTCCAGCGAACAGTAAAATTTTGCAATTTTTCCCCTCTGAAATTTGGTTCATTTTGTACAAAAAATTTAACAGGAGATCATTAATAGTTTTTTCCGAAACAAATGGGCACGACTTTTTTCGGAGGTAAAAATTATAAACATGTTTTCATAAGATTGCATCACAGATTTTTTATAGTGTTTTTTTTATATAAAGTTTTTTATTTTAGGAAACAATTGTTGATATTTTTTTTCAAAAAACTATCCAAACTATTATGCACTTTTACTGTACTTACTTTTTTCTTCTAGGTCGCATAAAGCGTTTTTTTATTGTCCAAAAATTGATCTATTGAAGAGTTCACTTCGAGTCTCAAAGAGATAAAAATTATTTGTTCACTCATGGACTCCAAAATTTTGATGAAACACATCTCTAAAACTGTAGTGTTCACAGGAAAACAATATCTGACGTCCTGCAAGATTTAAAAATTGTTTAGTACTTGGTTTTTTGAAAACTTCGTCCGCCAAAAATTCCGGAATCTCAAACATTGCCTTGGGAAAAACATAGAAAAAATTTTATCTAGAAAAATGGAATTTACACGTTCGCAAAAAAAACTCTTCTTCATTTTAAGAGAAAAACGATAGTAAGAGCTTTAACTCATGCTCTTAATTTTCGGTCGAAGTTTCATTTATGATTTTCTCCAATCTGTTTGAAATTAAAAAAAAATTGTAAGGGTCGTGATAAGTTCACAACATTACCCCATATTTTTTGTTGGGAATACAAAAATGAATAGCCACCAATAATGCGCAAAATTTGTAGGTGCTTTCAAAAAAAGTTCAAGGAATCACTTTTCATTTTACCATTAGTTTTTTCTTGAAGACAATATTTTTGCAAACTTAACCAATCTTGAGAAACCAAACTCGGAAATTTCAATACTGTTTGTTTCATCAGCTAACTTTATAAGTATTGAGGTTTTTGATCCTTCCGCAGATAACTGAATTCAATATTTAAGAAAAATTGTAGGGTACTTCTCCGGCAAAGTAAAATAGAGCAAATTAAAATAGATTTGCGGAGCTAAATCATTGAATCGGAATAAATTACTCTCACCGCATTAACCAGTTACACCAACAGAAACCTCTAGTTTTATCACAAAGCACAGACTTTAAGCGTATGGGCAAATTAAATTTTTGGTAAAAATAACTGTTTGCAAGACAAAAAAATTGTCAACCAAGGTAGTTTTATGAAAAAAATTGAATGGTTGAAGAGATTAAAATTCTGGGGAGCTGGAACTGGTTACGGAGCGTCAATTTTTATGTTACAGTTTGTATGGCTCGTTTTTGAATCATCAGGGAAACAGCCCAGTCGAAACAACACCAAACTGGGCAGGAAGCAATATGCATATACTTGGCTAAGGTCATTGTTTCATCGCATGTGAACTTCGTTAGTATGCAATGTTCGTCTTTGCTCCGCAACACTTTCACTTCCCAAACTGAGGAGATCAGGAGCTAGTTTAACGAGTTT